AAACACCTATGAACTTCTGAAGTTGGGAGGGATTTCACAATGGAGATGTTAGAATACAGTGTCCACTTAATGCCATAAAGCCAGTGGGGAAAAAGAAAATCACACATCTAATGCTTTATAAATATATGCATTAGGAAACCTAAGGAAAGCCAATTTCCTACGTTTAGTAAAATGAGAACATACAGCTTTTATGTTAGGGACAAAAACCCCTCCAATTACTTTAAAAGTAAATAAAGAATGAGAATTACAGAATCATTTTAAAGAACACTGCTAACAACAAATGACCTAATCGAGTATACAGGTACTCAAAAGCATGACTTTTCTTCATATTACATATTTTGTGTCAAAATTAAGAAACAAAAATTTCCTTTATTTGATCATTAAAAAATCTAATTCTTCTATCTTCCAAGTAATGTTTTTCATTTTAAGTGTATAAAATAGAAGTTCATAATTCATGTAGAGGCATCAATCTTTCCAACGGCTATTTTAAAGGTAATTGTTTTTGTGAAGATGTCAACATGGATGTCTACAACAAATGATCCAATTTCTTTGCCTCCAATGAATTTGTAAAATGGTGCTGAAGTCTTGCATTAATGTTATGATTCTCTGCTGTCCGGTGAATTACCCTCAATTACATTGTTCCTGTTGTTATTTGTAGATTTCCTTTGTAGATGTATACAAACTGTATTTTAGCTGGGCCTTTTCTCCTTTCATCCCTAAACACGAGTGAGTAAGTAGGCGACTCTGATTTGCGTGTTGTCAATGGCTCTCTGAGAAGAGTCCAGCAAACTTCCCAACACGTCCACGATCTGTGAGTGAGTGAAACAGAAAACACTCAGCTCTCGCTGGACTTTCACAACAAGCCCGTTGGCAGGGCACTCTGTCCTACTGTTCCTTCACTGCATTTCTTCATGGATGTCCACAGCCATTTTTTGACGCAGAAACAAGGACATGACTACCCCATGGAACAGATGAGGAAACGGAGGTTCAGAACTGAGTGACTTTCCCGTCACTACATGTTCACGGAGCAGCCGGCAATAAGTTTTCCCGGTCCTCTCAGTCCGGCGTTTCTCCTATCACACCATGCTGTGCCGTTAATACGTGTGTATTCATGCGTGTTCCTTGATATAGTCTTTCTCTGACAAAAATACATTTGGGTCATTTGTAGCTTCTTTCTCTAGTTGCTTTCAAATTTAAAGGTTATAACATATTTAGGTCCTATGTTAATGAGCAGCTTTTCCTTTGGGCTAAAACATCTTTTCCTCTTTAGCAACTTTGGTCATATGGAATTCAAATTTGTTAACTTGCCGCATAAACAGCAACTCATTTAAAAATAAATTACGAATATTAAAGAGAGATAGAGAACACGATAGTACACTATATATTGAAATACATCAGCTGTAGAATAATGCATCTTAATGAAGGCTTCCCATGTGAATAAACCATTATATTTACAAGCTTTCTGGAGTTAATGACCCAGAACGGGATAACGAAACCTACATTTATAGCAAGGTCCTCTGTCAGCAAAAATATACATATTAATAATTGATGCTGCTGTAAAAATAGGACATAATATGATGCTTCCTGAGTTTGTGGGGAAATAGGACTACACGGTCCATTAACTTAAAATGCTTATCTAATGTTTGATGGGCTTTGTCTTTAAAAATCCTTGTTCAAATTAGTAAGAGAAAATGGACATTTGTCCACATGAAAGTCTGTTCAATTTATCAGTCACAAATATACTTGCAAATAAGTGATTTAATGCTGGTAATTTTCTGGGGATGTTCATTGTCTTGGGGGGGTGTTGTTCTTCATGGTCCTTTGTTGTCACCGAAGGGGAAGACGGAGCAGCCAGGGACAGGGAAGACATCTATTCCCAGCCAACGGCCGTCTTGTAAAATGTCTTGCCATCATCAGAGCAGAGATTAATTAGCTCCGTGGCCGTCCTGGA